ATCTAGATTAATTGCGTAATGTTACGGTTTAATTTAACCGACAGAATGAACTCTATACTCCAACAAACTTCACAACTTAATTAAACAACGTGTTAAATTCGAACTACATTAAGGAGCGACTCCTAAAGGCAGTACGTGAACAGTGATTATCCTTTATAAACTTACTCAAGCCCACTATAGTCTATATCGTAGCTCATCACAGACACGATCTCACAGTTTTCTTCGAAGTTCCTTGAAATGAATAATCTTCCGCAATAGCTCTCTTTCTAGAACTTTCCGGAAAATCGATCATTCGCGACAACAACAACCACTACTGCTCTACGACTGAATCCTTATATACAGTTACAAAGTATATATTCCAGAACATTCCGGAAGCTCGCAACAAAACTATTTTGGTAGTATTACATCATAACTACGTAACCTAATAGAATGTTCTACAAAGTTCCTTAGTATGACTGCAGTAGAAAGTTCGTGTATGCATGGCAGTCAGCACGACCAGGTCACTCTTCGTAACAGTGACAATAATAAGAAGTTAAGAGAAAATAAGAAAATGTTTCAGTTCACCTTCATTCTTGGTCTTCAAAGCTTTTACTTTGAATGTCCACAAAATCACCAAACCGAGCAGAAACCATGCGGTGATCTGTGATTCGGTTTTGCTTCTAGCGATCATCTCGGCTAATTCTTGTCCTTCATCTTCATTCAAATCCTGGCGCTTCTCAGGACCAGGCCCGACTGTTGCGCAGATGTAGTAGTCCGCTTGGGCAAACGATACTGTCAGCCAGGCCAGAGGTGCAGCGAACGCCCTCGAAACGCTGGGGAGAATCGTATTGCTGAATACAGCGCATTTCGTTTCCTTTTGCAGCTTTTCCTTTATAGTTTGCAGGAAGCCATGCGGATTTAGCTTATTCGCCACGACCAGTAGGTTTATCATATAGAGTATGATACAGGGAGCAATAAGGTATAAGTACCCGTACAGTTGATGATTTTCCACAGGGCAGTCGAAGAATTCTGATTTGATTTTTGCGTTTATTGCCACAACACTCCCTGAAAGTCCAAGATTCAACAGGCTTTTCCCATTTTTGCGCAAGAATTTTATGCCTTTTAGCACTTCTATCCCAACTGTCATGGCTGAAAGTAGCTGAAAAGAACATACATCAAGTTTTATTTGT